GATCCGCACGCTCCATCTCTGTGTCCGAGTCGTCACCCATTACGAAGAGGGCGCAGATATAGTCAATGTGGCGAAGGGCTTCGGCTATACTGTTGGAGGAGGCCTATAAGGAATAAAATGCATAAGTATGAGGGTTTGAACAAACCCTTTTTCATATACACAGTACAGCGACATTAGACAGAAAACTTACTTGATTTCCTTTAAGTTTGTCCACTCGGCCAGTTTGCACCTTATGCTGATAATGACTTGCGTGTCTAGTACTCTGACTCGAACTTGTTCGAATCTGAAGAAATAGTGAATATCAGCAACCTATGTATCCCAAGTCACACCCTGTCGATACCAGCCGATATCTCAAGAAGGCATTCATAGGGGGGAAACATACCGGCAGAATGGACAAGCTGTTCTCAGCTGCTTGTACCACAGCAACAAGACAAAGGAGGATGTGGCCAACTGTAATATGCATTCTGTGCCCAGTCGTCAAAGAAGATGATGTACTAGTAGCAGCTTTTTGCGATCGAAGTTTGTGGCCGCCGATATGGTGTAGTAGACCAAGTTCAGAGTAATGGTGGTGGTGGTAATGAACTGAGCAAAGTTGGGGGGTTTCTTGAAACGTAGGAAATTTGAGGGATAGTATATACTATAGGCGGGGGGATTTTTGAATGTGATGGGTGAATGGTTAGTTCCAGTTGCGCTTCAAGTTCCAAGAGGCTAGTTGTCGGACCCCATCATGATATGATAACATCGGGTACTATACGAAGTTGAGATCGAGTCGTTTATGCCTCTCGCCACTTGCCAGCGGCGCTGAGCATGTTCAAGAACTTGTGTATATATCATTCCAGAGCCTGGAGGCTGGCACTGCTTATCTGACGAGAGTTGAAAACAATGTCTTTGAATGGCAAAATGGTAGAGAAGTAAGAAACGGAAGTGGAAGGACCCTCACGGTGGTACTGAAATTTTGAAAATGCCTCACCAACTCAAGATTGAAGCAGCGGAAAATGAAAATATCGCGACATGGTCCAACAGGGTCCAACATGGTAATACGATCTGGTACGATCATCCTTCACCTTGGGTAACAGCAGTTTCAACGAATTCCTTGCGCATGCTGAACTTCATGAATCTCTTCCACTTCACGATAAATAATGAATATCCTTTAGGCTCCTCTATGGTAGAGGTAAGACGTACATACAAGATGGAATCTATCTCCTTCATCTACGTTCTTCGACTACTTTGCCCTGGACGCTGCAGTGTCTCATAGTAATCCGCGAAATGGACAAGGACACCCTCAGGTCCCTCCCGTATTTCTCGAGGAACCACCCAGATAAAATCGTCATTACTATCGCGCTCCCACGGCCCTCTTGCAAGCCCGCCCGGGACCCCACCTTGTAGGATCCAAATGGTAGCCACTGGGAGCTCCTCTGAATCGTTCGGACCAGGGGCAAGTGTCGGAAAGTGCAAGTGAAATAAGAGCCGACAAGACAACTCGCAGAGTTCAGTAAGGGCCAGCCTCCCTTGACCCCAGAAATAGAGATTATGCAGGTTATTTTCCACCGTCACCCGGGAATAATGGAACGTGTTGCGATACACGAGCTTGAAAGGACGATGATCAAGCCCCAACACATCTTTACGAAACCGGGCAAAGATCTTTTCGAGCTCGTATGCGATATCAGGAGGAACACTATTGGTAGCAGCGAGCTGGGACTCATGATTGGCCGGGGGTAGACATTCGCCACGACCAATGGTACTCGACCCTTGCTCGAAGATGATGCAGATGTAGTCGATATCGGAATCTGTACGTTCTGAGGAGGCCTATCAAGAACGAAACACATATGAGAATTTGCCCGTTGTACAGGTATCCCAGGTATGATGGCCAAAAAACTCACTGGAGCCTGAGGTTTCTCAATATCCCTTGGCCGGATTTCACCTCCGCCTTGCCACTGTGAGTCGGGTTAGTATTCTTGCCCGGACTTGTTTGGATCTGGAGAAACGTGCAAAATCGTGAATATCAGTAAAAGCCACAACATCGCAGGAAAGGCATTGACGAGAAAGAGACGTACTGGCAGTACGTCCGTCACCGGCTCGATAGCTTGCTTGGCAACTACCACTTGCATAGTGACGAGGCAAAGGAGGATGCGGCCAGCTGTGATATCGATACGCATTTCGTGCTCGCTGCTGAGTGATCGAGTTCGAGGTTTCGAAGTGAGGATGATGGTGGTGGTGGTAGAAGAGAGATGAGGGATATATACTCTATAGGTTGGGAATTTTGTCGTCGGGTGAATGGTCCATTTTTGGGGCTTCCTATAGTTGCCGTCGGACTCAACATATCGGTACGATTATGCGGCTATGCCTCTCGCCATTTGCCGTTCTTGATACCTACATATATGAATCAATAATCAACTCAGTGCGTGCCAATGGAATGGGTCTATACCTCGCAAAACAACAATCATCGGCTGTTTCTCCTAGGCCGCCGTATCTCCAAAGGAAGATTCGATAAAAACTCATCCTCCCAATCCCTCTCCTCATCTCCACTCGCCAGCACCCGTCCTGCACCCTCACCCTTTATCCGAATCGTCGCCCGTCGCCAACCGCCCCGCCAGTTCATCAGGCCCAGAATCAATCCACAACAGCGAAATCGGAACACGGTCAGACTTCACCATACAACGAATCTTAATCAACTCGTGCTTTCCCAATTACAATACTCCGTCACGCCTTGAGACTTGACCCCAGAAATTCACACCGTGCATGACAGGCTTCTGCGGAGTCTACGATCCATATTCCATATCAGAGCCATCTCGTTCCGATAGACGAGCTGGAAGGGTCGAATCATCGATCTGAGGGGGGTTGGGGTTTCCTAGTTTGTCGATTCGGAAGCGGGAGAAGATTCGTTCGAGCTCGTCGTGGATGTCAGCCGGAGGGGTTGTGATGGCCCATGGGACGTGTGCGTGATAATTCTGCAGGGGAAAGAGGACGACAATCGTCGTGAGCGATACGTCCTTCCCGCGAAGCACTTTCCAAGACTTCGAATTTCAAAGTCCGTGTCGACGGTCGAGAAGAAGAGGATGCAGAATCCAGATGTAGTCAATCTGCGGAATGGTAGTGGATGATTTGGATTGAGATTCGGAAGAGGCAGACGAGATCTAGAGTGAAGGAGTCCGGGCTTTGTCCTATTCAGAATGAAATGTAGATGAGGATTTGCTCGCACGGAGTGAGAGCACTTCAATCCTCGTCCCTTCCGTGTCGATGCTCCGAATGGGTGCCTGGTGCAAGATGGGATGTAGGCTACGTAGCGGAGGTACCAATAGCAAAGGTGAGTTGGCGGCTTGGCCTGGGCCCGGAACTGGTAGAGGCGACAAGCCTGAGGTGCATGGAGCCTATGGTTCTGGTTGGGGTTGGGGTGAGAGATGAGGAAGGGAAGTTGAGGGCGTAACTGACCTGGAAGCAGTGTAAAGGAGAGAATTGGTGTAGGATAACGTCGAACGAGACGAGAGACACCGGAATTTGTTTCTTCCTCGTATCTTCTTCTTCTTCTTCTTCTCCTCTTCCCGTCAACCATTCGAGCTCATCGTGCGATGTAGATGTCAGCCGGAGGGGTTGTGATGGCCCATGGGACGTGTGCGTGATAATTATGCAGGGGAAAGAGGACGACAATCTTCGTGAGCGATACGTCCTTCCCGCGAAGTACTTTCCAAGACTTCGAATTTCAAAGTCCGTGTCGACGGTCGAGAAGAAGAGGATGCAGAATCCAGATGTAGTCAATCTGCGGAATGGTAGTAGATGGTTTGGATTGAGATTTGGAGGAGGCAGACGAGAAAGAAGGTGTCCGGGTTTTGTCCTGTTCAGGATGGGATGTAGATGAGAATTTGCTCGTACGGAGGTTGTATTGATAGTATGAGATACCTCTTTCATTACTCGGCCGGTTTTCACCTTATGACCCTTTTGACTTGTCCGAATCTAGAAAAATATACGAGATTGCGAATCTCAGTGATCTAGTAGTACTTAGTAGTAACTTGTGACACCACGTAAGAAAACATACAGGAAGACTGAGACCGCTGCGAACTGCTTGTGCTATAGCGACGAGGCAAAGGAGAATACTGCCGACGATTGTGATACTGCGCATTCGTTCAATGTCGGTCTAGAAATACTGACTCGTTTGAGCCTCGTGCGATTCCGAACAGATATTGTCGGAGGTGGTGGTAGTTTGCTAAAGGTAAGAGGGGAAGGAATTTCTTGGAAGTCGGAAGTTGGAACGCAAAAACGCTAACGCCAGAAGAATCATAGTCCAGAATCATCATGCCATACCCAGGTCGAGGGCGCTCTCTTGGAATACGCTATGTAAGCTGCCGGGTGAATGGTTCGTGCGGTTAGTTGCGATATGGTTGCTGAAAGATGAGGCCTGGGCCTGAGACCTAGGATCTGGATGGAAGTGTGGAGGGAGAGGACGGAAAACCAACACCACATTCGCCCCTCTCATCTTCCAAAGTTCCCCTTTGCCCATCAATACGTTTCCGAAGTGCCAGTGTGCGACTCGTGAGTACTTGAGTCTTGAGAGCACTCGAATCCTCATTCCGAGTTTTGTGTTGATAAGAACACCGGATAGGTAAGAGGCTGTAAGAGGCAGGTAAGAGGGAGGCAACGAGGTCCATCGTAGAGCTGAGGGGCAGGGAGAACGATATGTGGTTTCGAAGGACTCTGTGGTTGTGTTTGTGGTGATTGGGGTTGTGTTGAGAGAGGTTGAGAGAGGAGGAAGGGAAGTTGAGGGCGTAACTGACCTGGACTCAGCGGTGTAGACTCTAGAAAGGAGAGAAGTTGGTGATAACACCGGAGGTTTCTCTTCTCCTCCTCCCATCGTCATCCAGCGTCATCGATCATCCTTGGTCCAACGCAACGCGCCGAGCTGAATCCTCATAGTAGTCGTCTGTATACCCTCGATATACCGGTAACTTCCCATTATTGTACAATTCAGAACTGAGAAGAAGAAAACAAAAAACATACGAATGCACAATTGCATTAAGGGGGAATCGAACCCCCGGCGGGTCGAGAGCCGCTCAACATGGAAGGAGTGTTGAATGGCAACGACCCAGGTTACCACTACCCCATTAATGCGTGGTTAGGGTCGGGGAACACGTCAACTAGAGAATCGAGATCGAGTTTGAACAGGTCTGAACAGGTCTGAACAGGCCTCTGTCCGCTTATATAATCTCTTGAAATCAACGTGTCTCCTCGTCTCTCATGTCGTTCCGGCGTTCAACTCTTTCCAAGTTCTCTATCCTCCTCCCATCTGCATCAGCGCTTTCCATACTTCCTCGTTCATCAAACAGTAAAACTCAAGCTTCATCATCGCTGCCAATCCGCTGCTCGCCATCGATCCGATAAACCACGAAAATGACGTCAAACTTGAGTAAGTACTATAGTATACTCCAGTATACTACGTCATTTCAACCTTTGCATGATTTCATCGTTATCGTCCTTTCGTGTGGACCGTGAATTAGGCGTAACTAAGGCGTGGGGGGCTGAGGAGTGGTACTAATAGTGAGTACTTCCTTCTTACTTCCCTCTATTTCTCGCTCATAGACCGCTCTACATAGTCTCTCAAGGTTACTCAACGCTCTCACATAGAGTGCTCCTCATTATCTACATCGAACATTCAAACATTCCAAACGTGAACGCCGCAACTCCTCACATACATACATCATATCCGGTACGTCCCGATCTCTCAAAACAACAAAACAACAAAACCTTTCAAATCAATCAACCAAGTACATACTAACCAGGAATCCGTTTCGCAGAATCCAGAATCCAAAACTTATCGATTATCTCTTGATTCTTGTGTTATATCTATATCTGTATCTGTATCATCAGGTATCATCTTGAAAATCAACGTCGCAACAATGTCACCGCCTTCGTTGGGTATGGGTATAACGTCCAAGCTGAGCAAGATGATCCCGAGTCCGTTGAAGAGACGCGAACCGGGAAGGGATGGGTCGAGGGAAAGGAAAGGAGAGTCCGTTGAGGCCGTTGAAGGACGAAAGAGCGTCAACGAAAACGGACTCAATGGAAACGGAAAAACCTTCGAAAAGACGGAAAAAGACGACATACACGAAGACGATATACATGGAGAAACCTCGAGTCCAACCACCTCTCGATCTGCTTCTGCTTCTGCTTCTGCTTCTGCCTCTGCCTCAGCCTCAGCCTCAGCCATCGACCCCTCAACCCGCGTCCAGCTCCGCAGAGCCCAGTCCAGCGCCATAGCCGCTCTCAACGAAACCCAGACCCAGAGAGACGCGTATGGCGAGGTCGATTACGACTACGACTACGACTACGACTACGATCACGATTCCTCAGCATCAGCATCAGCATCAACCCCAACCCCAACCCCAACCCTAGGCTCACGCTTAGGCTTCACCCCACTCTCCCTCCTCGCCTCGTCCCCCTCCCAGTTCTACGGCAAGCCGATCCTGTTCCGCGCGAGAATCCACACGATCCGCGCTGTCTCGGGAAGCTTGGTGTTTGTGGTGTTTAGGCAGCAGATGGAGACGGTGCAGGGGGTGGTGCAGTATCGGGAGCGGGAGCGGGAACAGACACAGACACAGACACAGACACAGACACAGACACAGACACAGACACAGAGAACGACGACGACGACGACGTCTCCCCCGTCCCCGTCAGCGCATATGGTCCACTGGGCGTCGAGGCTTCGTCCGGAATCGATCGTGCATGTGAAGGGGGTTGTGCAGCGGCCGAGGACTAGGAAAGGCAAGGAGGGTAAAGATGGTGAAGAGGCTGAGGAGACTGAGGAGACTGAGGATACGGAGGATACGGAGGAAGTCCGCTCGACGAGCGTCCACAACGCAGAGATCCGGGTGATAGAGCTCCATGTGATCAGTCGTGTGGAGGAACGTGTGCCGTTCACGGTGTATGATGCGGATTTGAGTGCGGAGGCGGGTGGGAGGATGAAGGGAAAGGGAGGTGAGGACGACGACGAAAACGACGACGAAAACGAGGATGAAGACAAAAACGACGACAAGCAAGACAAGGACGAGAAGGAAGCCAAACTCGCCTCACTCACACCGTACATCACCGATCGCGCCAGACTCGGCTCACGGATCATCCACCTCCGGTCTGCCTCTGCCCAAGCGGTGTTCAGGATCCAGTCGACGATGAGCCTGACGTTCAGGGAACATCTCTCGAAGCCGATCGAGCTTCCGTTCGAGCGTCCCGGGTTCGCGTTGGATTTCGTTGGGTCGCTCCAGGACATCTTTGGGTGTTCTGGGTCTGGGTCTGGAACTGAAGCTGAAGCTGAAGCTGAAGATTGTTACAAAGGAAAGAACGTTGTGCGTACGCGTACGCTTACGCGTATCCCACCCTTCCTCGAGATCCACACGCCCAAACTCCAAGGGGGAGCGTCCGAAAGCGGGGCGTCTGTGTTCAAGTTGAAGTATTTCGGGAGATTGGCGTTTCTGGCGCAGAGTCCGCAGTTGTTCAAGCAGATGGCGATCGCGGCTGATTTTGGTGGTGGGTTTGGGAGTGGGATGAGAGGTGGTGTTGCTAATACCAGTGGTGAGGAGGAGGAGGAGGAGGAGGAGGAGGAATTGGATGGCACAGGAGGCGTATTTGAAGTCGGCCCCGTCTTTCGTGCGGAAAACTCCAACACGAAACGACATTTGACAGAGTATACCGGGTTGGATCTGGAGATGGGGATTCAGAGGGAGTATCATGAGGTGATGCTCGTCGTGGATTCGGTGTTGAAGGCGATATTCAGAGAGGTGTATGGGAAGAGGAGCAGAGAGGTGGAGGTGGTCAAGAGGCAGTTTGGGGTCGGGGAGGATTTGGTGTGGAAGGAGAAGACGGTGGTGATGGCGTTTGCGGATGGGATTCAGATGTTGATTGATGATGGGTGAGTGTTAGTGCATACTACAGTACTCGAACGCTGACTTCTTACCTGTAGATGGGTAGATGACTCTGGGAAACCTCTGAGGAAAGATGAAGATCTGAGCACGAGGGCTGAGATTAGATTAGGAGAATTGGTCAAGGAGAAATACAACACAGACTACTACATCCTCGACCTCTTCCCCAAATCCGCCCGACCATTCTACACCATGCCCGCCTCCCCCAGTACCCAATCCCACCTCTCCGCTCTCCACCCCAACTCGCCTGCGATAGGAGGCCCCTGCGGCCCGCTCACACACTCCTTCGACATCTTCGTCCGGGGCCAGGAAATCACCACCGGCGGCCAACGTATCCACACGTACCCCGCTCTCCTCGATTCCATGGCGGCTCACGACATCAGCGCGCGCGGGCTGGAGGAGTACCTCGATGGGTTCAAATGGGGCGCACCGCCGCACGGGGGAGCAGGGATCGGGCTGGAGCGGCTGGTGATGCTGGTGCTGGGGCTGGCAGATGTAAGGTATGGGAGTATGTATCCGAGGGATCCGAGGAGTTTGCCGGAGCCTCCTCGGGGGTTGGAGGGTGTGAGGCATGTGGAGGCGAGTACGATGGGGGTTTCGAGGGTGAGTCTTTTTTTAACTACTGTTTTTTTGATGTTTTTCTGATGTTATGTCGGTGACACAGACCTCACCGGTGAAAACGATCAAGTGTATCTGTCACACCCAGAGCACACCGTCCTCCTCGTCTGCTACGTCCAACACACCACAGACCCTCGGAGTCGAAGGACTCGGGCTGTCTGATTTATCGTTGGACACGGCGAAATCAAAGGGTGGGACGGACACGCCGGTTTCGACGCATTCGGCTCGGACGGTGGACACGACGACGAGCACGACGAGTCGACCCCGTCATCCACCTCGCATCGTCGCTCCCTCTCCATTACATCAATCTCTCATCCCAGACCCAAGCGGCGGTGAGCTCTCAGAACAACGTCTCGCGCCTCCTGCAAGGTCTCTCCCGCCCATACCCTCCCTGATCGCCAACTACGGCGACGCAGCGAACACGTCCTGGCTTGACGATCGGTACCTCGTCTGGCGAGACGTCGTGAGCGGAGGCGCGATCGGGTTCGTCCCCTCGTCGTCTGGGTACGCGATTGTGGTCGGGGACCCGTTGTGTGATGAGAGCCAGTACGTGGGTGTGGTCGGCAGGTTTTTGAGGTGGTTGGCAAGGGGGGAAAAGGAAGGGAAGGGGAAGGGGAAAAGAAAGATGGGGGTAAAGGACAAGTTGAAAGAAAAGACGAAGGAGTTGGGGTTGAAAGATGGTGGTGATGAAGGGGAGGGAGATACGACGACGGATGGCGAAGATGGGGATGATAGGCTTGGGTTTGTGGAGAGGAAACGGGTTTGGGTGATGGAGGATGAGAAGGAAGAAGAGAAAGATCGAAAGACAGAACAAGGTCTATCCAAGATGTCTACCACAGCCAGTATCGTCCACCCTCGAACGAACGACTCTGTTCTTTCTGGCCTCTCAACCAATTCTACCCTCGACCCCTCCTCCGAATCCACCATCACCCCCGGTCCCACATCCCCATCCACCCAAAACCAAAACCAAAACCTGACATACCCCTCTCCCCTCCCCCCACTCAAACCCATCTGGCTCCTCGCCTCCTCCCACCTCGAACGCATCCTCGGCTCCCGTCTCTCCTGGTCCTCCTTCACCTGTATCGCCGAGTCCCGCGTGGAGCTCGAGGGCGAGGTGCCCGGTGCGTTGGAGGACAAGGAGGTCGCACGGAAGGTGAGGAAGGCGGAGAGCGAGGGGGTCAGTGTCGGTGTTTGGTTTGGGCGGGACGGGTTTCGGTGTAAGAGAGGAGAAGAAATGAATGAGTATGATCTGGCTGATGGGATTAGGGTTGTGGATGATGAGGCTGAGGAGAGCAAAGCCATCGCTCTCTCACTCAAACACGCGATTGACAAACGGATCGAGGAATGGAAAGAGGGAAGGAAGACAAAGGGTGGTCAGGTCAGGTTGACCGATGTCGAGGTTTGGAGGGACTACATCCATCGTGTGTATTTCGTCGCGTTGGCTCCCAAGACGAAGAACACAACATTGGCAACAGAAGAAGAAGATGACAACATCCCCGTCTCCCTCGTCGTCCTACACCAACTCTCCCCCTTACACGGCTTCCAAGTCAAATACGCCCTCGACTTTCCCTCCTCCTCCTCAGGCTCCATCGAACTCACCCTCAGCTCCGCCATGCACTTTGTCGCCTCCACCGGCTCCGGCCGACTCACATTCGGCACCTCCGCCACCTCCCGGCTCACACCCACCCGCGGCCTCAGAGGGATGCGGATCAAAGTCCTCTCGCATGCGTATGAGGCGATTTCGGACCGGATGGCGTTGAGGGGGAAGGGTGAGTTTCGGAAGAAGATGGGGGCGGAGGAGGAGGATGTCTTTATTTGTTTTCCGAGGGGAGGGATGGGTGCGAGAGGGGCAAAGGCGGTGTTGGATTTTTGTGTGGCGGAGAGTTAGGCTAGGCTCATTTGCTGCTCGGGCTGCTGCTTCTTGTCTGTGCTCCTGGTACACACACACGCACACACACTCAGGCCCGATAGTCATTTCTTGGACAACGTTCGATACCCTTGGACCTTACATTCAAACAGTAACTACATCTTTGGTCAGTTTTTTAGGTCCGCTTTTGCTATGTATCTTTGCTTTTGGTTTTTCTCTTGCTCCCGCTTGCAAGTATTAGTATCTGCACAGAGCTCCCAATACAGGCTCAGAGCTGCTCAGCTGCTCAATTTACTTACTCGATTTACCCAATTTTTTCTCGACTCGGATACCATAAACAACGTTCGACAGTGCTTGGTGACCCTGAACGTTGAACTCTTGTAGGTCCTGTAATTGTGTAGTTACCCCCTGTAGCATGTACACCTTGAATTTCTCAAAATTCTTTGACACTCATCGAGAACACACATAAGAGACGTCCATGACTACTCTCAAATACCCATTCCAACAAGCATTAATGGGGTAGTGGTAACCTGGGTCGTTGCCATATACATACAGTGTGCAGTATTCCTTCGACCCGCCGGGGGTTCGATTCCCCCTTAATGCATATACGACTGTGATGACTATTTTGGGTATTGTTTTTCTTTTTGGATTCTACGTTGACACTGTATAACTCACGCACAATAAGCACCTCGACTCGTTAGTGTCAAGAGGTATAAAAGTCGGCCTTTGGGAGACAACACGCACACAAGGCATCTCGAACACGCACGCTGTCTTGAACACTGACTAAACCATTGCACTTCTTCCTCTCTCGATCTTCAAGGTTCAAAACTCCAAGCCTCATGGATCAGAAATCCCGCAACTTGCTTACTACAAGACTCAAGTTCGCGAGTGTCGACTTTCAAGAACTGCTGTGGCCCAACCTATGGTAAATATCCCTCAATCATTCTCCTAATACTACGCCTTGGCAAGAAAATTTAGAATCCCCCCCCCAAAAAAAACATTCTGCTCAGTTCTCTACCACCACCACCATCACCACGGCCCTCCACCACTGGTATTTCGTTCTCATATCCCACCAATCGCTACAACTTAGCGGGTAACAGTCACAGAGTCATAACCCCTCAGCTATAGCCTATTTCCGAGTCTTTCTTTGAGAATCAACAACTCGAGCTCCGAGGACCGAAACACCGTAAAATCATAATGCGTATCACAACCGGCCACATCCTCCTCTGCCTCATCGCCATAACGCAAACGGAAGTTGGCGCGCAAAAAGCAGGGAAGGTATGTAACATGTTTTCCTTCCTAGTACTATCAATCCCAAGCTTCTGAAGGATTGGCTAGTATCAGGATATGATATAAGCGGGTCACTGACTACCCATATTTCTTCAGGTTAAAAACATTCCGCCCACAACTCCTCGTTATCGAGGGAAGTTAAAGAGCGGAGTGACAAAAAGTCCCGGACCCTCTATAGTGAGTTTTCGAGACTACTACTTATCTCTGTACTATGGGGCAAAATCTCATATGTGATAATTTTTGATAGAACAGCCATCATGAACCTGAAGTCGTGCCACCTTCCTCCGAACAGCGTTCATCTAGTACGACCCAGAAGAATCCCAACAAAGACGTCATCAACCTCCGCTTTCGAGAGGGTACTATCGTCACTAGTACGGACAGCGATCATCCGGAACTTGCTCAGAGTCCTAACCACGAAACACCTCTCCCCAACTCCGACTCGGTCCCAATCCCAATCCATTCATTCTCTGCACCCTCGCCCGAGATCCACTCCGAGCTCACAACGATCTTTGAAAAATTCCGCGAGGAACTCGGTATGGATCCTACTGAACGTCCCTTCCGCCTCACCTATCGCAACCAACTCCTCCTTGACGATGGCAGAGGCTCCGTGTACACACCAGGACTAGAAGAGAACGATCATCATGTCTATTTCTGGGGGGCCAGAATGACGAAGCATTGCACAAAGGACGATGGGCGTTGTCTTCTCTACTTTCACCGGTCGCTTCCGCCTGAGCACCGAGCGGAGGGGGATTCCCTTGCGAGTGTGATAATAGGGCCTGAGAGGGACCCGGAGGGGGGTACGAATGTATGTGATTGGCCGGTTCCGTTTAGTGTAAGGGAAGAGGTTGTCCAGCGTTTGCCCGGTGGTGGTGTGGGTCATAATCAACTTGGCTAAGTATGTAGTACTACCGCTTGTAAGCCTGTAATTATCTCAACGATAGATTGTGAGTCGTATGTAACATCGATAGAGAATATTTATTTATTTATTTATTTATTTATTGCAATTGAAGGGAAATTGGACGACTCGGAAGACCCCTTCCTTTCAATTGTCAATCTTGAGGGATTGTGACTTCCGCTGCGTTGTTCATCGAGGATTTCTCTGGACGAACCATCGGAGATTGTATAGCATATCGGTACGGCGATAAATACCTGTAGTACCGATAACAAGAAGGCTCCAGTATTCAAGCTCAAGTGGCATAAGGTGGCATATTGGTAGTAAGCTCGTTCGCCGGCGACTGCGACGGTCATATGCATTGCATAGCATTGCTCGCCCTTTTGATCCAGTGGCTTGAAGCGGCTTGATCTGGATCGATTCCGATGCATTCAAAATTGAACAACCTATCAACCTATGGTAAATATCCCTCAATTTCTCCCACTGATATACGCCTCGAGTCTCGACTCTCGACAAAATACCCAAACCCCCCCATAATCTGCTCAGTTCACTACCACCACCACCTCTACTTCACGAAAGCCTTGTTTTCTCGTTTACATATCCCCAGACGAACAAACACTGAAAGCTGGTGCTACATATCAACTACTTATATCTGCTTTGAAACTCATCGACGACTCGACACCGTACTAAAATGCGTATCACAGCTGGCCATATTCTTCTTTGCCTTATCTCCATAGCGGAGCTTACAGTTAGCGCCCCAATAGCGGGGCCATCCGAAAATGTATGTTTTCTTCAAGTCTTCAGGCTTCAGATATCGCCGATCGACTGGTATTGGTGGAAGGCTTCGAGTGGGATACTGAAATACTCGTATTTTCTAGCTCAAACCAGGCTGGACCAAGGATCTAAGCTATCGTCAGCCTCTCGGAAAGGTGAAAGGCGGTCGAGTGGGAAAATACACTACTACTACTAAGCTAAAAGGACTCAACAAAGCCAAAGTTAGGCCATTTTTCTGGACTATCATGGCAAATTCTTATACACAATGTTTTCAATAGGACACTCGAATTGGACCGGGGAAGGGTCACGACGACTCAAACGAAGACGAAGACATAATTGTCCTCTCCTTCACAGAGAGTACTGACACGGACTACTACGACTCAGAGCCTGACGCAGCCTCGGGTCATGTATCACAAGGTCGTCCCACCACTAGTAGCCGCGAAGCACCTCCGAACCTCAACTCAATCCCTTCCTTCCCTCCACCCCAAGTAGTTGGAATCGATCCCGAGCTACGACTGATCTTTCATTGGTTTCGAACGGAAATCCTCCACATCCATCGTCCTTTCCGCCTGAAATATTACAATACGCTCAATCTTGACTACGAGTACACACTACAGTCGAACGAGCATCATGTATATTTCTGGGGTCAAGGGCTAACCAACGCTTGCACACGGAACAACGTGAACTGTCAGCTCAAATTCGCGCAGCCACAGCTTCATGATCAGCGCGAGGACCTGGACCATCATGATAGGTGCCTGGCTACTGTGAAGATAAAGGAGTCGGAGCAGAGGACCAGTGAATGGGCTGTTCCTTTCAGCATACGCGAACAGATTCTTCAACAATTTGAACCTTTTGGCAACGGTATTGCGTAGTATAATCAGTATCATACGGTATAGAAATCGTAACTCATATGTACTACCACCGATAGAGATTTTATATATTGCAAAGATGGACTCGCGAAGGGATATTGAACGAACCCGCTGTCCAGTCTTGTCCAGTTGACTCGAGTGGCACTCTAAAACCTGCCAATATGTATACTGAGCTAGTCTTGAGCTTGAGAGTTGGTTCCCTACAAAACCGCTGGCAGTATGTACATACTATGTTTTTTTTCCTACGTATAATCTCACCCTAATAAATCATCGGAGCTCTTAGCGCTATAGGCATGCAAATAGCGAAACCAACTCGAGCTCAATGAATGGAGACTACATTAACTAACCAGAGATCCCACCCAAAAATACAATACTCGTAACCTGTAAGTGTGGGCTGTTGTACGATGGTCCTGCTGATCGGTTTGATGGTAGTAAGCACAGAAGAAGAGAAGGGAGTGGTCAGCTTGTGTCCATAGCGCAAACTTCAACCGCGGCCCATGTGTTCTTCGAGTATTCGCCGCGCCCATGGAACGATAAGTAGCATATTGATACCATTCGGATAGTATACCTCGCTCGTGCCAACAACAGAGGAGATAAATTCTGAAAATCGAGAACAACAATGAGCATACTGAGAATTTTGAGAGGGTTCATGCATGTCGTGCATTAGTGGAGGATGATATCGTTCTCGGCTTTACTGTATAAGTAGAATCCTACACTCTGGTGCAGACCAAACCTTGATTTCCTAGGACTTGGCCTGGCTACACCATCAATCCAAAACTTTGCACTGGTCTGTGAACCAAATGCGTTGTCATAGTGTGTTGTCATAGCGTGTTGCATTTGGTACAAGACACTGGACTGTGCTCGTCCATATCTTAGCACGCCTGCTATCAAGTTTTTTAGAGCCAGAGTCGAACAACGTGGCAATTGAGAAGACGGTGTCACTACACATGTCGCAAATGTACGCTGGACACTGGATCGACAGCTACATAGACGCGCATTCCCGTATTGCTTCAACTAATGCTTCAGGATTTGGTTTTGCAGAGATTGTGTCGACATGTAGATGCAGCGTATCACGAAGGAAAGACGCTGTGGTCGGGCCAATAGCAGCAGTACGCACCAGTGGTCTATCACTGGATAGATTCGGATCGTTGCTGGTCCGGAAACAGAAGTGTGTTCGGAGGTATGGGAAGACATATTCTGCAGCAGATGGTGCAAAGAAGACGACCCAGAAATCATTATCTGAAAGAGGCGGCAACAACGTAAGAATACATAGCTAGAAGAAGAAGGAAGGACTACGCACTTCGTTCATAACCTTCCAAAGCCTGATTCAGGTCGACTGAGAATTTGGAGCTACCTCGAGTCTCATATACTTGGAGAGGCACCAATTCAACGTGCTTCTCGTCCATTATCTTGGGCAAAGTGTCCCGATTTTTGTCTCCCACTAGGTATAAGAAACACTTCGTAGGAGTGCCTTCCATCTCATCCAAGATAAAACGCGCCAGTTTCTCTGCTGTCCCGCTATGTTCTCCACGAATCTGATTAGGATTAGGACAGAGTTCGCGTAGAGATGAGGCAGTGGCAGCGCCAACGACGTAGAAAGGGATATTGGACCATGAGTCTATCACAGTTTGTTTATCCGGACATTGCGCGACAGAGGCCTTCCATGCCTCGCAAGATCTAGCGCTAGTAATAATCACTCCATCCACGTTCGGTCCCGAGACGATAGTCTGCTTCAGCTTCTCTATGTTCATCAAAACCGTCTCCAGGACGGGGACACAG